CTATAGCGGGACGTGTGGGTGTGGGGAAGGCGGGAGCACGTGCATGTTTTTTCCTGAGGAAACCAAGCTAAAATTGTTCGCAGGGAGAAGCCGGGGGTGCGGGTTTTCCTCCGGTGCTGATGGGATGGAGGGGGGTCGCTGCTGGCAGGGGCAGGATGGGAGGAAGGGGACGGGAGCGCTGGGATCCCGGGCTGCGGCGTGCCAACCCGGTGCGTGGGTTACACGGTCAGGGATGCTCCTGGGCACGGGACGGGGCTGTCGCCGCCCTGCGTGGCAGCTCCAGGGGACACCCCTGCAGCTGAGAAGGGGGGTGGCCTGGCTGTGTCGTGGGCTCCCGTGGAGGATGCTGAACGTCTGCCCAGCACTTTGTGCTGGGGTTCGGCCATGCTCGAGCAGCCCCTGCTCCTGCTTTTCCCCAGGAGGTGTCTGCAGGCTGATGGAGGGCTCTTTTGGGGTGCTTACGTGGGGAGGTGACTGTCACGTCCCCAGTCCTCCACTGGGGTCCTGCCCATCTGTGACGTCCATCTGTCCTGCTCTCCCCTCGGCAGCTCAACACCTTCCAGGCGGTCATAGCCTACAACGATGAAGACACCTACGCCATCTTCCTCTACCCTGATGGTGGCCTCCAGTTCCTGGGGACGCGACCCAAGGAGTCCTACAACGTCCAGCTGGAACTGCCGGCCAGGGTGGGCTTCAGCTGGGGGGACGGTGACGACCCGAAGAGGGACGGGCTCTTCCACAGCCTGGCCAGCAGCGAGCAGGCTCTGAGGCACCTGGAGCGGTGCGTGGTGCTGGGGGACACCTGCGGGGTGGGCAGGGGGAGCGGGGTCACCTTCTCCCAGCCCCTGGAGCCTTTTCAAAGCTGGAAGAAGGAGGGGAGCGAGCTGGGGGTGATGGGCTGCCTCAGGGGGGGCTCGACCCCATGCGCACGGGAGCGTTTTGGGATTTGTGGGTGCGTGGTTAGGGTACTGGGAGAGGGGGGTGCAGAGCAGGGTGGGTACTTTTGGGGTGGGTTTCCCGCCACGGCTGTGATGGGGGCCCACTATGTGCACTGCTGTCCTGCAGGGAGAGCAACACGGGGGTACCCGGCGTGTGGGTCTTCCACGTGGGCAGCGCGGCCCCCCTGGAGCACGTGGAGCCGGGGGACAACGGGGGAGTACATCGTACCCACGGCACCGCCGACTACACCCGCACACCCTACAGCCGTGCCCACCACACCTCCACGGAGTTGCCGGCGCGGCACGGCTCGGCAACCAC